ACTTCACAGATTATTTTATTAGGTACTTATTCTTAAAAATGAAGAATATTCTATAAAAGGAAAGACACAGTTAATTGGATTTTTTTCTTTTACTTCCGAATGTGGACATAAGCATATATAAAGTTTTCTATGTTGTTTTAAAAATAACCATTAGCAGCTATTAAAGCTTCCTTGGAAACTGCTTCCAGGATCTGACATGTCAAGATTTCTTTTCCTTATTTAAATCTTTTCTGTTACAACAAAATCCACTTTGTTCATTCATTCATGTATTTGTTCAGTAAGTATTTCCCATAGGCTCACACTATTCTAGACCCTGGGGATTCAATGGTGAATCCACCTAACCATGAGTGTTTGTTTTGATACTTTCATTTTTGGTAAATGAAACGTACTGGAGGGTTCACAATGCCTGCGACCTTAGCTGTTTCTGAAACAGTAGCTACCAGTGCCTTGAAGTAGTTTGGACAGAGACTGGGGGACTTATAATATGGCTTAGTAGAAAGAAATGTGCAAGCCTAAGATCTCCTTCTGTGAAGAATTTGAACCAAGGAACTACCTCAATTTTCACATTAATATGTGTCAGTTGTTAGGAGGGAAATGAAATTATAAAAAATCTGAAATCACGAGCAAAAAGGGTCTAAAAGGCAAAATAAAGAATGTAAACGAGGGGCCTGAGCAGATGGCTCTATGGGTAGAGAGCTTGCCATGCGAGCCTGAATATATGAGTTCCATTCCAGTACCTGTGTAAAAGGTTGAGCATGGTGGTTCATGCCTGTAGTTCCAGTTCTGAGAGGAAGAGAGACAAGGAATCGTGTGGTTATTGTGGGCTACATAGTGAAATCCAATTCTGTCTCAATAAAATAAAATACAACAAAATTAAATAAAGCATCATAGTAAACAGAAAGAATGGAAATGCATTGGTATGGAAAGGGGAAGAAAAACAGAAGTAACACAGGAGTATCAGAGAAAGAGACACATTCGAGGCATGTCTCGGGTTGCTTCAGTATTGCTTGTGTTTCAGCCCCAAGGAGATGGTGTTTCCATTATTGTATTTTTAAGAATCTCACACCTCCACCCCTTTGAAATGGGTATTTCTTGGCCCTTGTACGTTAAGGAGGTTAAATAAGCTGTATGCTCTTCTTAGCTACTTAACATGAATGTAAGAGACAAAATACAAAATGTAATTTTTTTAAACAGATTATTTTTGGTTCTAGGAATTGAACCTAGAGCCAGGGCCTTGTGTATGCTAAGCACATATTCTGTCATTGAGCAATGCTCCCACCTCCAAGAGTGGACTTTAAACTAAATGATCAGCTTTGAAATAAATATAAGTTAGTCCCACTTGACCTCTATCTGTATGGATTTAAAAGTTTGCCTGTAAATCATGCCAGCAGTTTGCAGGGTGCTGTTTTGGGAACCTTTACTCCTTGTTTTAAATATCAACAATTGTGTTTTAACATTACCCCAGAACTGAAAAGGCATTCAGCCTTTGGTCCAGGAAAGGTTGTCAATCACTTATTTCTTTTGCTCTTTTAGATTCTGTTTTCATGTTATCTTGACTTTGGAATTTAGATCAGATAGCAATAATGTCCACAAAGGCTTGCCTCGGCTTAGTGTTTTGCAGAGCTATAAATGGCCAGTGTTTATTTTGTGTGCTTCTTCCATGCCTAAGAGCCTTCAATTAGTAACCTTAATAGTCACAAAAACTCTATGAGGTAGAGGGAGTATAGTTATTCCCATTTTACAGGTATGGACACATGAAACAGAGAGGTTAAAAAAACATTTCCAAGGTATTACAGTTATTAAATGATGAAGCCAAGATCCAAATATAATTAGAATCTACATTCTGAATTATGACTTTGTATGGACTTGTTTCCATGGAAACCATACAAGATCCTGACTAAGCAGAGGTTATATTCTTGCTTCTGCTGGAAGCTATATTGCAGTAAATTAACTCCTTCAATAAATATACTATGTACTATTGATCAAGATAAGCAGACGGCATCTTTGCCTTCAAGGGGGGCCTTCTAGTTTTCCAGTTTTCTATCAGTTTGGTTAAAGCTTGTCTTTTTCCTTAGAATCTAATATTCCTTTAGATAAACTTAAAAGATTTCTGTTTTCAAATAGAAATTTACTCAGTTCTTTGTTTTATTTTTTCAAACTTAAAAAAATTCACACATTTCATTGCAGCCTTCTCATATGTATAGGTTGTTGTGATTCACTTTCTCTCCCACTATTCTCATAGTGGGAATTCATAGAATGTAAAGCTGAGCAAACACTGGAATTTGGTGACAACAGAGAGGCTCATTCTCGTTGGAGCAAGTGTTATGGTCAATTATTAATTTTGACTGGAATTTTCACTTTGACCTTGAACTTATTCCATACTTCTCGGTCTATGTCCTTACTTTTTTGTTTTTAATCTTTAATTGTAATAGAATGTGCTGGTCTCTGTTGAATTTCTTTCAAGATTTTTTTTGAGTTGCTTTTGTCTTTGTAGCATACTAATGGTCCACCTTAATATAATTTATCAAATCAAAACAACACTGTATCTATTGTATCAGGATTAGGTTTAGTGTAGTATAACAGAAAAACCTGGATGATAGGGGCTTAGGGAAAGTCACATTTATTTCTTTTCCACATTGAATAATATTGGATGGCACAGAGGCTCCGCAAAGTTGTCAGGGACCCCACTCTCTTAACTCACTGTTACTGTCTCTGCAGGCAACAACTTTCCCCTTAAAAGGATACAAGTGCCTGAAAAGGGTCCATACACCATATCTTGATCCAGCTAATGGGATGGAGAAAAGAGACAGAATGATGTCTCTCTTTCTTTTCAGGGAATTTTAAAGTTGTAAGTCCCATACATCATACCTGGCTAGATTTCGATAGCCAGAATTTTATTAGATGGCAACTTTTACTGCAAAGGAGATTGGGAAAAGTTAGATTCTGTTGGAATCTTTAACAGGACCACGTAGAAATGCAGTTTTGTAATATGAGATAATAAATACAGAGAGATAATTTGACGTCTCTGCTACAGGTACCTTACATGTGTCTCACTTTCGATAAAAATTCACTGGTGGTATTCTTGGATAGTGTCATCTGGGTCATTAATGAACATAATTAACCTAAGAATTTTTCCCGTTTTTATTTTATTTCACTTTATGGTAATAGAATTACATTAGCTGCATGTAAAATAAACCCATGTGGAAAAAATTAGGCAAAATGGATAGCTTACTGGAAGGGTGCAAAGAAACTCTAGAAAGAGACGAACCTACACAGAGGGCAGAAATTTAGCCACTGGTTAAGAAAACCTGCAAATGAGGATTTGAGTATACAAAATAGCTGTCTTCTCTACTTAGTTCTTTCCACTGACTTTATTCTCTTGATGAAGAACCATTTTTCTTCACTCATGTGGTAAAAACATACATCCAGTAATATCTCTCTGATTTGATATCTAGTAAGGTCAGGAACCTAAATCCAAAACTCCGGGATCTCTTTGGACAGGTGTCCACCTCTTGCCCAGGAACTATGACCAAGGACAGTCAGCAGTAACTTGGATGTTATTGCTGTTGCCATCATGATGAAAATATGGAAACGAAAGAGGCAACTTCCCCATAGGGAAGATGGGTGTTGACCACATACGACACACAATTGAAAAGTTTCCATATACATGATGTAAAAATATAGGTCAGTGGTCCAAGTTAAATGATTAGTAAGGATGTAGACATAATTAGTTGCAGATAAACATTGTTTAACAAGGCTTTAATTGTATATAATGTTTACTGTGTGTTAGGCATTGTGCTCCATTCTTTTTAATATATTGAGTCATTGACTCCTTTATAGCTCTATAAACTATTATTATCCCTTTTACAGATAGAAAGATCTGAATTTAGGATTAGATAATCTATCCAAGGTCACATATATAATTAAAGACTATACTTGGGTTTTATGTGTGTATGGTGGTGTGATATATGCATATGCCTGTGCCCATGCACATTCATGCAGAATCCAGAGGAAGATGGTAGGTGTCTTCCTCCATTTCTTTCTGTCTTATCCCAAGAGAGAGGGTCTCTCACTGAATCTGCAGTTTGGTGTTTCAGCTAGGCTGGCTGACCACCAACCTGTCTTGATTCTCTCTAAGGGGTTTAGACATGTGCTGCCATGCCTAACTCTCTTTTAAAATATAGTTCTTTTAAAAAATAGTTCTATAGGGATAGAACTCAGCTCCTCCTTCTTGCATAACAAAATCTCTTGTCCACTAAGCCATCGCTCCAGCTCAAACTATACTTGTTTTAAGGTTAGTTTTATGTGTGTGTGTGTGTGTGTGTGTGTGAGGTGTCAGCATTGGGTGTCTTCCTTGGTTGCTTTCCACTTTATTTTCTGGGGCAAAGCCTCTCAATGAATCTTGACCTCATTATTTTCAACTACTGAGCACTAGGAGTCTTCTAGTCTTAGCTTTCTTAGTGCTGGGATTGCAAGTGCATGTCACCATGGGAGCTGGGGATCTGAACTCAGGTCCTCACGCTTGCATTGCCAGCAGTTCACCAAATAAGTCATCTCCTCAGCCCAAGTTTTGAACTACTGGGATAATAAACTACCTCAATCCAGAATCCAGTTCTGTCTTGAGTTAGAAATTATGGTAATATTTCTTAGTTTTTTTTTTTTTTTTTTTTTGGTGTGTGTGTGTGTGTGTGTGTGTGTGTGTGTGTGTGTTCACTGGAGCGTGCAGACACACGCACATGTGCATGTCACACACAGGGTCCTCTACACAGGCCAAACTTGCTATAGGCCTTGAACATGTGATCTTCTTGATCCTTAGTGCTGCTAGAGATTGAACCCAAAACTTTGCACATGCTAGGAAGGACTCTGAGCAACACTTTTTTCATTTAAAATTTCTTTTTGAGATTATAATATAATTACAACATTTCTTCCTTCCCTTCCCTTTCTTCTTTCAACCCCTCCCGAGTATCCCACCCCACTCTCCTTCAGATTTATGCCTCTTTTTTCACTAATTGTTATTGCATATATATATATATATATATTCCTATATATATATATATTCCTAAATATAACCCATTGAGTTTGTATAATGCTATTTGTATGCCTGTTTTCAGGACTGACCATTTGGCACAGGACAACCAACTGGTGTGCTCTTCTCTGGGGAAGACCACCTGTCTTGTTCCCAGCTCTCCTCTATTGCCTATAGTTCTTTGTGTAGGGTTGAGGCCTCCTGGGCTTTTCCCTTGTTTTGGCATGTCCATTTGGTGTCATCCTTGTTCAGATCACATTTGGTGTAGCTTCTGATGTTACTAGAAGACATAATCTCATAGCAAACTCCCTGATGCTCTGGCTCTTACAGTCTTTCCATCCCCTCTTCAGCAATGTTCCCTGAGCCTTGGGTGCAGGAGTGTTTTTACAGATGTATGCATTGGGACTGGGTTCCATAACCCTGCATATTGATTGGTTGTGGTGTTCTGTAGTGGTTTCCATCTGTTTCGAAGAGAAGTTTCCTTGATGAAGAGAGATGACTACAATTATCTGTGGGTACAAGGACAGATGTTTATAGGTTGTTGCCAGGGATTGTGCTAGCTTAGTAAATTAGTGGTTATAGATTCTCCTCTAATAACCATGACTTCATTAGCTCTGGGTAGTTGGCTAGGTTTCCATTACCAGGCATGTTTTCCCTCTTGTTGAGTGGGTAAGTCCACTTAGAGAGCTGTTGGTTACCATCAAGTACTGCACCCTTATTGTGTCATTCATATGGCTTACAGGCATTAGAGTTGAGTAGGATTATGCTGTCTTCCTCGTTTGGAAGCTTGCATGCCTTCTGGTACCACGGAAACTAGTCCTCAGGGAGGTGACATTCAGAACAGCCCCAGTTCAGGGACCTCAGTGGCCTGTATCTGAAGTGCATGGTGTTTTCAGCAATAGGGACTTACCTTTCATCTTTTCCCCCAGGCAACCAAGGGCAACATCAACAGTCTGTATGTTTTGGGAGTCTCTTATCCCTAACCAACTCAAAAGAGGCCTTCTTATGTCTGGTATTGGGATTTTTGTTAGGTGGGAGCACCATTAACCTAGACACTCCAATTTCCTTTCTTTTTTTCTTTCCTTCCCTCCCCTCCCTTCCTCCCTCCTTTTCTTTCTTTCTTTTGGTTTTGTTTTTCTAGACAAGATTTTTCTGTGTAGCTTTGGCTGTCCTGGAACTCACTCTGTAGACCATGCTGGACTCAAACTCACAGAGATCCACCTGCCCCTGCCTCTGACTCCCAAAAGCTGGGATTAAAGGTGTGCACAACCACACCTTTCACAGTTGGTTTTTTTTTTTTTTCAACCTTCACGGCTGCCACCATGGAGCTAGATGAATTAGATAAAACTTGTAATCTTAAATCTTAATCTTTTCATCTAAAAAAGAATGGATTAAATTAAATACTTTCCCCCCATATATCAGCAGAGACATTTCAGAAGGCAGTAATGAAAGGTAATGTTTTAAAATTTTTAATGTATTCTATAATTTTGAGTGCTTCTTGAACCTGTAATCCTTTGTTGATAACTGTGATGAAATTAAACATATTCAAAATGGAGTTTCTTCCTACAGCGTTATAGAGGGACATTTATTTTACAGAATTAAAAGTTCAGAAACAGGAGCCTTCCCCAGTGGTATGATCAACAGCTCAATCGTATCTTCTGGAGTTTTCCTGTGTCACTGTCATCTTTAGTGTGTTCATTTTAAGACCAGTTCGTCCTGCACCACTGCTGTGTGCCACACTCTAGATTTTAGGCTGATTTATTCATGCCGAGGGCAAAGAAGAGAGAATCCTCTCTCAAGCGTGGACTCAAAGTCTTTTTTTTGGTCTGATGGGGGCTGGCTTACTCCAGGAATATACTGATATTAAGGGGATTAATTAGAATACTTTGGGACTATTCTGATCCTAGCACAAATCAACCTAACATAACTTAGATTCTAGGTCACACTGCAGTAAAAAATACAGCCAAATCTCAGTGGCTTTAACATCAAAGGTAGTTCCCTTGCTCAAAGGTTTGCTGCATGGGGTCCTTGTTTGGGAACCTGGGCTCAAATGCTTTACCATCTTTAGCAATAGTAGTCTCACAGCATGTGGTCATGTATGCCTCCTGACTGCTCGGCAAAGCTAACATGGGCAGCTTAGCAAAGCCTTCTTTCAAAGTAAGGCTTCCTGAGGCACCTGAAAGAAAAAGAAACACCTGTCACCCAGCCTGATGATCTGAGTTTGATCCCAGGGACCTACTTGGTAAAAGGAAAGAGGAAAGAACTGATCTTCCATCCACAGGAGTACTTCTGTGACATGGGTACACACACACACACACACACACACACACACACACACACACACGATAACAATAATTTAAAAAAACCATAGATGCAGATCTTGAGGCTAAGTAGTAGTAAATACTGTAAGGACTTATACTGACAAATAGATGTACCTGGAAATGATATCATTCCTGTTGACAAGCAACAATAGAGAGGCTATCACTTGTTTCATGGTTTGGCCCAACTGCAAACATGCGGAGGGCAGGTGTAACCTTTTTTTGTTTGTTTGTTTGTTTTGTTTTTGTTTTTTTGTATAGGGTTTCTCTGTATTGCTTTGGAGGCTGTCCTGGTACTTGCTCTGCAGACCAGGCTGGCCTCCAACTCACAGAGATCCCCTTGCCTCTGCCTCCTGAGTGCTGGGATTAAAGACATCTGCTATCAACATATAACCTTTCTAATGTCTGAAAGAAAAGGGTAAACTCTGAAGTTCTCTACTATTCTGGGAATAGTAGACCCAGGGGTAGTTCCTTCTAAAGTGATTACCTAAAAAGCTAGCAAATTAAAACAAGAATGAAATAAGAATGTCTTACTAATGAGGGGGATTCTGGAGTGGATAGCAAATCAATCAATGGTATGAAGTATATGGAGCTTGCACTCAATGAAGACGGGAATTTCAGCTGTGGAGGTGAGTCAGAGAGAAAGTTAGCTTTAGTTTCATCAGCCTTTAAATCAGTCATTTACCCTCCAGGTGGGGAAGATTAGCTCTAGCTTTTGAACCAGGACTTTGCTCAAAAGTGGCTTTCATTATTCAAGGTCCCATCGTCTTGTTTGTGGGAGCAACAATATCATCCTTCCTATGATTGCCTGCAAAATAGAATACCATAGAGGCGAAATGGCAAATGGCAACCACTGTAAAACAAAGAAAATGAAAAGTTATTAAAAAGGTTTTCAGGGGCCAGAGAGATGGCTCAGCAGTTAAGACCACCAGCTGTTCTTCCAGAGGACCCGGATTCAATTCCCAGCACCCAACATGGCAGCTTACAACTGTCTGTAACTCCAGTTCCAGGGGATCTGGTGCCCCTGCATAGACATACATGCAGGCAAGGCACCAATGCACATAAAAATAAATACATCTCTAAAAGAAAAAGAGGGAATGTTTTTAGAAGTGACATCAGTTGGTCTACATTGGTAGAGATGGAAGTTTCTAAATTACTTGCTAAGCAGCTGTTGTTGATTCTCCTGAGAGCCGCATGTACCCCTGAGACCCTACTGATTTCCCCACTATAGTCATAGGATCCACCTCAAAGGTTTGATTTGAGAATTAAATGATGGAGGAAAAGACTTTAGCATGGGGCCTTGTTTCAGCAATGTTACACCTTCACTATTATTTTTATTATAGGCATAATAAAATGGTAGTAAATTTCAAACTAGTTTCTACATGAATGTTCACAACTTAGGAAATGCGATAGCATTCACGTTCATTAACTTTGATCTAGCTAATCTCTCAATAAAATGGCCACTCATGTACTTCACTTTCATTTTGATATTTTCCATTATCTAGGAGTTGACTCCTCGCCTCACATTCAAGTCTCCACAGTTCTAGCTGATGATTAAGAACTGACCCAGGCTGAGCCACAGGAAAATGATGAGCTGACAGGGCCCTCCTAGTTCCTAGTATAAGACATTATGGAGAAAGTTCTGGACAACTCTTTTCTTGGGCAGAACCGTCTGTGATTTTGAGGATAAGCTGAGGGAGCATCGGAGGATGAGGTGGCATGCTATCTCGTGCTAATGCAAATCAGGAACCGAGGATGAGAGTCACAAGTGAGCAGCTGGAGCGAGAAAAGAGAGTGAGGAGTTTCAGCCACAGAGTGGGAGGCCATAGACTGTAGAGGGAAGCTTTCTATGAGTGATGTATAGAACTGTTTAGGGATGCTCTCTCAGAAACTTAACACGGGAAGGCAGATTTGAGTTTCAGGAGTTCCTTTGCAGAGAATAGAAGAAATGTACTGATACATCTTTTTTTTTTTTCTTTTTCTTTTTAGTATTGGAGGTTGACTCTAGGCCTTATAGTATGTTAGATAAGCACTTCCTATAACTGAGCCTCCCTATCCATTTCAATTTTTGAATCATGAGTCACTGTTATTATTTGAGACAGGGTTTTGCTATATATCCAAGGACAGAACTGGACTCACTAGACAGTCCAGGCCAGACTACAACTCACAGCAGTCTTCTTGCCTCAGACTTCCCTCCTGGGATTAGAGGTATGCACCACCACCATTGGTTTAGGGCTGTAGTTTTTAAAAAGCTGAAGACTGTTGTCTGCATTGAATGGGGCCAGTATTTCTATTTGAAGTGAATTTTTCAGGAATTCTTTACTGGCCCGCAACTGAATGTGTGAAAGATTTGTTTCTACATGTCAGTTGCATAGCGATACTCCCAATTCTGGGATGGTAGCTACATCCTGGGCATGTCCTAGGGAGAGCTTTGATGACAGGATATTGTCACACTGAGCCTAGATCAGAACTGCTGGAGCATTACTTTCTGACTGTAGCCCAGTGTCAGTCATCAGCTTGGTACTTTCATATATTCTATGCTAGCCTATAAAAATGTGCTATTCCTGACAAATATCCCTACTGTATTATTATTTGGATAGAAAGTGGGTGGGGAGGATAAATGTTATGATTCCTAGATATTTACTATTTAAAATTAAAGGCCAGATTAAAGGAGCAGAGGGTTTGAGGCAAACTTAAAGCGTTGAACATGGAGATCTTCAAGTACTGCAAACCATAATTAACTAGAAATGGTTCCCTTTTTCCGCTGAAAACATTCAAGTCACACATACTTGTTAAAATATTTTTTAAATGCTCTGTTTACATCCCAAAGTAAATATTCTACCACTGACTCCTAAAAATGTTCCAGGCTGTGGGTATAGCCCACAGGAAAACACATCCTTGGCATACACATGCTAACACAAAAGGGATAATAATTCAGATTTTTGACTGTTGAAACTTTAGCCTTTAATCCACGTTAAGTATTGTATAAGCCTAAAATTTGTCTATTTGTAACAACCAAAGAATGCTACTGGAAGTTTCAAGGAAGACATTCAATAAATGACTACTGATTTGTTGAATGATGACACCCAAACACTTTGGCTAGAACATAATTCTGACCCCTGCCTGGGTGGTTTTGCGTGACCTTCGATAAATCAGTGTGTTTTCTTCAAGATACTTCAGAGTACCTTTTTATTTCAAGGACTGATAGTAACCCAGTCACAGGTCTGGAAGAGCTGCTCTTGGGTGAGGAGCTGCTTAAGGCCCGGAATTTTTTTTTCTTTTTCTTTTTTGAAAGCAGTGTCCTCTTTGCATTTCAGAAACACAGTTCCTGGTCTAGAATAAATTTTGGGAATTTATGAGCGCTATTAGACAGATTGCATTCTTGGCAGGCTTCGGTCCCTTTTAATGTCTTCTCTGTGAGCCTTTTGATACTTAGTATCTAAAAGGCCAGTCCTGCTTACTAAGAGAAAAGTATCCACAGTATTTACTTAAATATATCTGTGCTGAGAGGAGTAACTGTCTTGAGGGTAGCTTTTCCACCCAGCCACCCGCCTGCACCCTCATGCTTGGGATCTGGGTCCCCAGGCTACAGGGAAGAGTTCGGCACGGGAAACTCATCTTCCGGCCCTCTGATTGGCCGGCTCGCACTCCACTCATTGGGCTCCTGGCTCTGATTGGCCACGGCGGCACCCCTCGGCCCGCGATTACTTTGTGAGCCCGGGCGGTGCGGCTGGGTCCTCCCGCTCAACTCGCCCTCTGGGCCGGTCTGAGGTAGCCCTTCGGCCCACG